CACCCTTTACGTTTTGTACCCAAACCTACCTCGGCGAATGCGTACCGCGGCAACCCATTTGGTGACATGCGCAACACGGTCCATCCAACGTAGTCTATGAAAGTCAATCACTCGTCCCAGTGGGTGATCACGATTACCCAAAACTCAGTGCCTGGTCTCAGCGTTGTTTGTCCGTGAAATGCTACGTTGATTGCGGTGTTCAAACACCAACTATCTATTTTTATCCTGTTTTCACAGTGATGAAGTTTCTGCGCTGTATAGCAGCACCGGTTTGACTGCTGCAGAATACATTCAACCTTTCACAGAAAGCCGGATGTCGCGGCTGAGCCACAGATATCTTGATTAGTGTCGATCGGGCCATCTGTGTGAGAGCTGACACTTCATCGTGATACGTGATTTAACCGCCCAAATAACAAAACTTGTCCACTTGCCCTATGACGTATCCAGTTATATTGAGGCTAGGAGCTGAACCAACCCAATCTTGTAGCAATATTTTACACTTTGAAGGTGTGAAACGCATATCCAGATGTTCAGTTAGCAGTACAACGTCGTCCGTATGCTTTATATAATGCAGTTCCTCACCTGGAAGTAAATCGATGCTGCTATTTTCGTTCTAGGACAGGATTAGTTCCAGAATCAAATGCATCACGAAATTAAATAAAAAAGAGAGGGAGGATAATCCCGACAGACCCCTGTTTATGTGGTGAAATCGGGCAAAAAGTGGAGCTTCGGCTATTCTTACAAGCAAGGTTGATCTTTCTCAAAAAATCGTGTGGCTGTGGTACATGATTCATTCGTTCAGCCTGCATGGAATTCGATAAACGAAAAACCCATATTCTACATCAATTCTGTTTTTGTGATCTATCAACCGTGTTCCAACATGAGGAGTTCGAAACGAAAGATTAATGGAAACAAGTGGGCACAAGGCGGGGTATCATCAATAATAATATTACCTACAGAGGGATCTACCGAGAAAAGGGAGTTTTTTGTACGTAATTACCCGTGTGCCTGCTAACCAAGGCAAGACATCAAATACTTTTCTAGTCAGAGATTAAAAAACCCTGAATTGAAAACTTAAAAACCGTACGCATAAAATCTCTCAAAGTCTGGATCATGTGGAAATGGGTTTAAGCTACCTCATGAAACTTATTTGATTTATTCGTGTTTGGGCTCTTATGACTAGCAAACAGAGAAGAATAATAACCTGTGAGGCAATCTTTTTAGATACTTTTCCCCTAGAAGTTCAAACTCTAGAGACTATGATACCAGAACTGGACTTGTGCCCGTGGCGGATCCATCAAATGCAAATGGTTGTATCGGCTGGACTAATTCATACATGAACCTCTTACAAAGGCACTTGTTGAGCAGTGCGTTTACATTTTGAAAATGTTCATCCTTCTTCATTCCGTAGATCAGGTTGAGAATTTATTCAGTCCCCCGGTTTCCCGTCTAGCCACGGTTCACACCGTACACGCCCACTTTAAATGGACCCTAAATGCGTAACCTAAAAAAGACAAAAAATATAAACCAGCTTGGAAATTTTCCAGAACTGGCTGAACAGGTAAAACCAACTACAGAGAAAACTTTCCAGAAAATGTGAACGACTATGATGTCAGGATATTTTGTTTGGAGGTCGGTAGACTTGGATAATTAATAATAGATGTGAATCTACTCAGCAGTTACACAGTCATCGAGGACTTGTCCAACTAACGAACAATCGACCTGCGGGAAGACAAGCACGCATAGCCTACAAAGATCGCTCTTATTTGCCACTCTCTCACACGAGGCCAAACGATCATAATGTCAAACGTCCTAGCAACCATGCGGCGTATTAATCTGTTAACAGTTAACTGAAACACGACTTTTGCGACCGAAAACAAGGGATAGTGTAGGATTGTGTCCTCTTGACTCTACCGAACACTGGTACGAAAAGCGTCGGATTCCATCTCCCGGTTTCGGCATCAGTACATCGCAGTCGCTGCTGTGCAAGAAATGCGAGTGCTCCGGTGATCCGGAAGAAACAGTCCGGTGAACTGCTTACTAAAAATTCAACGAGTTATCGCCAAAGGTATGTCATGTCTGCGGAAGGACTCTCAGAGCACTGCAAAGCAGCAACCTGAAGCAAGCTAGATCTGAGACCAATGGGGGTATACACTGACAGAAACTCAAAATTAGTTGTTTGGTCAACGAAAATGAGTCTGCTGTTCCCCCCCTCCAGACCTCACTGAGGATGATTTAAGTCAACAACGGATTGATGAGTACAGCACCGGAGTTGAACGGCCGATTTCACTCCGGTACAAAAAAGCAGAGAGACGAAAAGTCACTACTCCAACCAGTACGCTACTCATAACTGTTTCTTATAAATGGGTGAAGACAAAATTAGGTACAGTCTAGCTAGTGCACCATCGTATTCCCCCNTTCCCCCCCCCCCCCGCCGCTACCCCCCACAGAACTCAGCTAACTTGTCTCAGCTCGTTTCTGCTTTCTATTCCCTGAGGAAATCATCTAATGCAATAGTTATCTTTCAATACTGCCGAACAGAAGGAGTACGTTGAAAAACCTAATTTTTACAATTTTATTATCAACGAACTGAGCCACGCTAAGAGAACAAAAAACACAATGGTGATAGATACCAAGAGTTGCGGAAACGCATTTCACATTACAATGTACGTGGTTGATGCGCACAATACTGCCAACGCTGGCTTACCAAAAATGCAACTTTTACACTAAATCTTCACTTCCTTGGTTGGCACTTGGTGTGGAGTATTCTTCCGTGACTTCCGGAACTGCAGACAGAGCGACAGAAACCACGATTTGTTGACTTGTTGAGTGCAATCTTTGTCTACTTTGCAATCCGGGAACGAATTGCGTTTGAATTTCCATTTCAGACGAGACCGAGGTTGAAAACTGTCCGGAGGACGACGCATCTCGGGTCAATTCGGAATTGTTGGTGCAAGAGACGGAATCACCCAATCGAGCAGTTTGGTCAGTAAGGGAATGCAAGTAAATAGACGAGCCCCTAGGTCGAGGTTGAATAGAGAAACGCCAACGAGGAAGAGCGGCCATTCGTTCTGTTTCCTCAGCCGTTCTCCGACGTTGGTAATATCGATAACGCTGGTAGTTGTTCCAATGATGCCGGACAGCCAAAATCACCCACAACGTGAGCAAAAAGACTAGAAGGAGAGCCAAGGTCCCCAAACCAATCACTTGCCAACTCAAAACACTCTCTTTCGCGTAGCTCATTGCACCCATCAGACAGAAATACACGCCGAGATATGTACTCGGAGTGAGTAGAGTGAGACAAATTAAATCTGTCATTAAATGCTTTCTGGTTGTTGCAAGATTAATCCATTCTCGAAACGATCCGAAACGTCTGGCCACACGCTGCGAAAACATTGGGGCTGATCGGCGTCGGGACGGAGTCATAATATAGGCATACCCACATAACTCACAACTTGGTTTGCCGGATTCAAGTATCCAGCGTTGTAAACAATGACGATGAACCAGACCCACAGTTCCCTTGCATCGACAGGGAGATAATAGGACTCGTTCAGGATCACCTTCTTCTAAGCAAATTCGACACCGGAAAGGACCGTTACTGGCTGTACTCAGCTGACTAATTTCGAGCTGCTGCTTTTTAGTTGCTTCTGTACAGATAATTTGACGGGGTCGAACGGGCGGAGACACAAGTGAGGGAATTCTGTCCGGTCTTTGCGACTGCTGTTCCTCTTCGAACGAGCTCGTGGCAACTCCCGCATAGTCTGTCTGATTCAAGTTTCCCGTTGTTCCAGATTCTTCAACGCTGCTAGAAAGAGACTGATTCAGAGCAAGTCGGGGAGCACCGATTAGAGCTGAATTTAACACATCCTCACTACTAGTCTGTCGAAAAGAATGTCGTAAATGTGGCGTGGATGTTCGGTGCACATTTATAAAAGACGCCCGAATCGGGTTGGTCACAGCTGCATGCTCAGCGGGAGTGAAATGTAAAGCAGAACTGTTCAGTAGTCCGGAGTTTTGACTAAGGTTAACTGCGAGTTTCCATCGTTTAGTGTGCTTTTCCAACAGGCGTCGACTAGAGAACAAAACATTCTCATCATTCAATTCCAGGGATGGTCTCGGTGCATTTGGTACTCTCGTAAAGTTCGGGTTGGATAGTACCGTTTTGCGATGTGGACTTGTGGATGACATAGATTCGTGAGGGACTGACTTTCGTGATATATGGTGCAAATCAAACTTTTCTGCTTTAAACTCATCAGTGTATAAACCTGTGGTTTGGTGAGAGGAGCTTTGAAACGGACTTCTGGACATGCTTGTTAGTTCGTTCGTTAGCACTGTAGAATCCCTCGAACAAAAACGATATCACTGTATTGAAAACTTCCCACTTGGATCCGTTTTCCTCAAAATAAAATAGAGGAATTTCAATACACAGGGTCGTTGTCACCACAAACAGTTCAGTCTCAACTGACGATCCACGCGAAATTAGTCATCATGCACGCTTTCAGACATGAATCGAACCGGTCAAAAACGTCTCTCGTGGATGTTCACGATGACAACTCACTTGGTTCGGGAAAAGATGAAAGACAGCTTGTCATCAATCGATGCTCCAGTGATCAATTATTGCGGGTTAGCTAAGTGCATCGATTTTGTTTGTCCAGTGTGTAATGACGATGATGATGGTGGTAGCGGTGGTGGTGGTGAGAATTACCAGGACCTCCAGAGTGTGGTCACGTGCCTCATGATGGCTAGACAGCTATATCAAACCGCTGCACTCATCTGATTTCGAATGCGCCTGTGATTGAGGCGTGTGGATCATCAGTGAGTGGAACAGAAGAGATTCTCTATCCGGACAAAGTGCACTGGTTAGACCAGACAGTACGGCAAGAATGAGTTAGATTTCAGCAAACTATAGCCAGAGGTTGACTATCAATAACAAATGACAGTACTGCATAGCTGTGTGCTAATATCTCTCAAAAATAATAGGTTGTGAAAGTGGAGGGAATTTTATATCGTGCTTTAATGTGCATTTCGTAGTTTTAGAGTTCACTGTGATTGGCATTAGGTTCAAGTAGGTGATGGGGAACTTTGAAAATCTTCTGGTTCGAAACATAAATGATTGAACATGTGTTTTGTTCCTTTTTGGTCATTCAAAGCGCATTTGAATATCCAGCATGGATGTGGCACCGTATTAACAAATAGAAGTGCTAAACAAATTGCGATGACCGAACGGGTAAACCCAGTCAGGAGCGCGCGCAAACGCATACAAACCGGTTATGGCTAAGGCCCTCCACCAAGTGAATACTGACAGACACACAGGTGAGACAGCGCGTGCATTGTTCTCCCTGACCTTTTAACCCCGGTGGGATGACTTGCCTGAACAGTGTCAAGTGAGCTCGGTCAATACAGTTGTCGGACTATTGTGTTCTTGCGACTTCTACCCATGTATCACAGGATATAGCCGGAATCAACCGTTTTAACAAGCTAATTGGTTGCATTAGCGGAGGATACTTATATCAGATAATATTAATAATTATATCTCAAAGGTGAAATTCGTCGTGTATATGTCAAATGAAGCGTGAATTGAAAAGCTAGGAAGCACTGGACAGCTGTCTCGACCTGATTGGGTCTCACCAGCAGTACGAATCCATTGACCCAACTGCGGATCGAACCCGGAACCTCATGGGCAGAACGCAAGCATCTTACCCACCACGCCACCGGGCAGCTGACCAATTTTTTATTTTCCATTTACACGATATAGCACAACCCATCTTGCTGCAGGTCACAGACCTTGCTCATCTCAGCACTAGCCTCCGGGGTTATGACTCGGTTGGAAACTTTCACAAACTGACTACTTATTTCATGTGAACCAAATCCTCCGTTACTCACATGAAATAATGATAATACTTATCATATGCCAGGCGAAGTAAACGTGGAAAAACAGCTGGGATGTACTGTAAAGCAGTTTTAACCTTGCCGAATGCGCAACTGAGGCTCTAACCCAGGAGTTCAAACTCGACTCATGTTTTAAACTTTCACGACAAGATCTCTCTCTCTCTCAAAATGACTGTCATTGATCATAAATGTAGTTGCGTATAAAGTGGTGAATAAAATAGTTTATTGCAGCACTGTTAGTATCGAAACAATAATTGAAATGTTTTCGAAAAATGGCTTTTTGACTTCACCATGCGCAAAATCAATTTTGGTGAGGTATTACGAAATGGGCGTAGACTGTATAGTTTCGCTGGAATATGTTCAACGAATTATCATGCATCATGAGAGCCAGTCCAGATAGCCTAAGTAGCTCGCTTGTCTGCATCAGCAAACCGTCGAGCCCGGATTCGAATCAGCGTGGATTGAATAAATATGCCTCAAAGATGAGTTCAACCAGACTTGCTGGAATAGATTTACATACTGCTTCCCAAGTTTGAGTGACAAGTTGACAATGAATGATAAATAGATGCTCATAAATGGCTCAAATCTCTTACACCGTTCCAGATCAAGGTATAGGATTAGTGTAGCTAAGCAGTCAATATGTTTTTATGAACTATTCAGAATCTAATCCTAGAAAGAATGAAGGAAAGCTGAGTATGCACTGCTGGTGAGTCCAATTATGGACATGATAAATGTCCAGTACGCTTTATCGCTCATTCAATAAAGGACTACTATCACTTCGCTTCAATTTTCTTGCAAATGAATGCTCTAAACTCTCACCTTCGTGTTATTTGATGCATTAGCTTAGGTAATCTTTGTGGAAAACCATTTGAACAACTTAATCGCACCAGTTAGGCGGAAACCAAATTTCCCTACATTTTACAGTAACAGCACCTTTAGTCGCTCAGGCTCAGAGTGGATGCATACATTTGTGTTTTATACCCAGCGAAGTATCATTTCATCTCGTCTTATATTCATTGCAAAAGCAGTGATAAGCAAATGGTTTGAATTGCTTGTTTTCATTTGTGCCACGAAAGGGTAGTTTCGGTGAACGGGGTCTAGGAAGCCAGACACTTCATCAACCGATTACGTTTCAGTTCTGGGGTAGGTTAGCAGATATCGATTTGGTGCTGAATAAGGTGGGCTCAGACTCATCAAATAAACGGTCGTGCAGGAGCAGCTGCAGGTGGCTTGTTTTCTCGCTGCCAGTATTCACCCTGGAACAATTCGAAAGATTTTTAACACGCCACCGTCTCTTGTACCCTCGTTTGACTTCATCTGAAGTGTTCGAATTGATATTTTCAGTTAGCAGGTCTTTTGGAAGCTTCGGATGAACAGTCCTCTGTTCTCAAACCTGTCGCTTTGTAGATCAGGCTCTTTCGGTTAGAGGCTCGGGATAAGGTTATCTGTGACAACTTAATGAGCTGATATGAATAGCCGGGTAGTACCTCTCCTGAGGAGCTCCCCGCACTGAACAACCAAACGATGCTACATTTCCGTCTATATGTATGGATTTTATCTCTGCAATGTGCACACTGGACATGCTTCGGCATCCGGAGTGACACAGACGTGAGCTGGGATCCTCAACAATAGAAGACGTGTCCATATTGATTGTTGGAATATAAAGACCCTTTGAGGCATAGGCAGTAAGTGCAATACCATACACATACTTCACGAATACAGCTTTGACATGGCCGGTTTATCGTTGTTACGCAACCCCAACTCCCGAAGAAGCCACTTTCAAGTGTCTCATGCAGATGCACCCTAATGGATGTATCACAATGAGCTGACGGATAATCGATCGCTCCACAGAGTAGTAATGACAATGAACAGTCGAGTACATAATGCCTCAATCTCTTAGGATCTAACTCATCAAATATCGACGTAGCCTGGTTTCAGGTACACCGTTTATTGTTACGGTAATTGCAGCCTAGTTCCAAACCCTACATACTGATCACGACATCAAAAATGAATTTTACAACTTGATTCAGAATTCAGTCCATCAAAATCCCAGATGCAAAATTGAATTGAATGCAGGTGACTGGAACACCCATCTGGATCCCACAGATAAGCACACGCTACATATATTGGGGAAATTCGGTAGCGGAGATATATACGACCGTGTGGAGTGTTCGGTCAACGTTTGCAAACTCTAACCGGTTCTCCGATTCCAACACCGAAAAGCACTTACATAGTTGATATTCCAATGACAGCAGGTCAGTATGTGCTAACCTGCATTGTGATACATTGTGATAGGTTATCCCTATACTTCATCGGTCGAGAACTTTAGGGCGTATCACAGTGCAGTAGCATAAAACGACAGTGACACCGATCACAATTTGGTAAATGACAGCCTCAAGAATTACCTGACCACGAGACAGAAATCTCGAGAGGAGTCAAGTTTTCTGAGATAGAAATTCCAGTCAAAACGAAGTTTTATCAGAGGATATAAACTCCAAACGGACTGTGAACCCTGTCGATAATGGTACCGATGCGCGTAGCCAGTGTTAACCCAGCCTTCACATCAGTCACCCGTAAACAACTAGACAAAACACATGGGCCCAATAAACAATGAGCCTTGGAAGAAAAAAACATCGAAATAAACTGGAAAATATTCCACATTAGGTAGGTTCAAGTTTCCTATTTTCGCTAGTTTTATCATTTCTGCCAACGAAAACCGGATGCTTAAGTTCGTCATATTTGTATGTCTGTTCACTATCGAAAAGATCGAGTTTTGACAACCGATCAATAAATTAGTCAATCAATCAACTATTCGTAGTAGCATGTGTTTCCAATCAATTGAAGGAGCTAACCAGTCAAATAAAATACAGATTTCAAACCCGTTAAATTAAACCCTGTCGGATTACTGGCAGCTCAAAAAGTTCGCTGTGAAATGTTTATGTTCAGACAATTGTCCATGTGGTTTCTGATTGGGGTACTATACCCGCCAGTTATCACTTATTCTGTGAAATTCGTCCCAAATATTAAAACAGACGAAGTGCGTTATTCATCATGTCATGGAACTATCAAATATGCCGAAACTGTGATACATCTACAAAAGCACATAATCAAACAGTGGCTCATTGTTCCCAAATTTTCAATGGATGGTCTACATCAGTTAAATTTCGGTGAATCGTCCAATGTTAGAATGGTTATCTTTGGCAGAAATGTGAGCATTCACTATCCCGACCAGTCCGATTCGGGAAGAGCCAGCTTGATTCAATTGGTGATTGATCAGTTCCGCGTACCGACAAAACCGAGAATAAAACTGATTGTCATGGCTGCGTCAACCCTCGAGGACCCCGATCGAGTAGTGTTTTCTAATGATATCCAACGTGTTGAACTTAACATAGCCGCATCCGCTGTTCGAGTGCTAATTGAGCACACGGCAAATGGTGACAGTATGACCATTCTGGATAGCCCTATCCAATTGAGCATCAGGTACGGATGTGTCACAACCATTGCAAAGCACACGATTGAGCGTGCAGCTGTGCACAGTTCTGCTTGTTTATCAACGGCATGGACAGGATCAGAATGGCTTGGACAAGTTCCTTGTCTGCCAACCGCGCATGGTCAAATCATCCAGACACAATGTTTATTTAAGTCACAACTCTGTGACGGAAGAGGCGACTGTCCAACAAGAGAGGATGAATCCGATTTGGTATGTGTGCCGCATCTCCACCCTTCAACCAGAGAACATCTCTATAGACTTTCTTCCCGATTGGGATTGCTGTCCTCGGAGGACCCTGATTCATGCGGACAGAATACATATCATTGTGCCCCCGTGGAGCATTCAACAACCAGACCAACAGTCTGCATCCCCACTGCGTCGATTTGTGACGGTCTGTTTGACTGTCCACTGGGAGACGACGAGACAGATGCACAATGTGTTACAATGACGGGTTCTCTAGAAAGCAACAATACTTCATGTCCGACACTGGAATACCCATGTCCAGAGGATGACATATGTTTACCTATGCCATTGGTTTGCGACGGCCGCCTCGATTGTTCTAGAGGAATGGATGAATCTGATCGGGCTTGTCAGTGGCGAGCACGTACCATTTTCTCAATGATAAAAGACAACAACCGAGAGCATCTGCAAGCAGTACCAGACCGAAATAAGACAGTACCGAATGAAGCCGAAGCTCCACTAAAGACAGATACAATAGTGATCGACAAAAACATAACAGAAGAAAAACATGCAACAGGGGGTTCTATCGATGAATTAAGTCCTTCTGTCACAGAGTTAACATCACCTTCGAGCATCGTTTCAGCAGACCCGAGGACAACTCTTATCCCTATACAATATACAACACAAAGCTCAACAGACACTTGGGCTGATACCACACAACAGGCGGCTATTACAGAGCTACCAGTTACATATGCTACCCAAGAATCTATTATCTCTACTACTGGATTCTCTCCAAATCTCACAGTGAACGATGCAGCCGTAGAAGCACACACAAACTCACCCTGGGTTCCTGAAGTGACATCTGCATTGGTGACCGAACAGTGGACTTTTACAGAAAGCAGCAATGCTACCGAAATCGTCGATACCAAACAATCGACGGCTTCGGATCAATATGTCTCATACTCTACGGAAGAAATAATGAAAAATTCAACAAAAACGACAACCACCATTGCTAGTTCAACTACTACTGCTTCTACTACTACAACTACTACTGCAACAACATCATCTAGCAGTTGGATTCCGTCCCAACCAGCCACGTACAATGTGGCCGCTAAGGTTACGGTTGAACCGGAGCTGGAGCGAACGCAAACGGATGCCCTGTCATTCATCTCTGAAACCGTAACCAGTGAAACACTTCAAACCGTTCCAACTGTACCGCTTGACATTATAAGACACGACAACTTGACTGTCCGATGGAAACCACCGATTTATTCAGACAATCAAACCGGAAGCTGTACGGAGTGGGCAATATGCAAAGGTGTCGAATCACTGTTCAGCAATAAACCTATTAGTTCCAGTTCCGTTCAAGTTGACACTAGCCATATATGGGATGCTCAGGTGACCGCCTCTGAACTGCCTGAGCCAGATTCACATGATCAGTGGCTTGTTAACCGGTTGGCCACGGTCTTTAGTGGTAAGGTCCCATTATGTCCAGGTATACTGATCGATAACACAAGACTTTTGGTCAACCGAACTTGCCTGAACAACTCAACCAACCAGGATTTCAATGTGCGATTGACTCTCTTAAACGAGCCGATAAGGTTAGTGATTATTTTGTTATTTTAATTCAAACACTATTTACGAAATTATTCCCGTTTGAGTAATCATGAAAACAAAATAGCAAACAAGCTCGTTTTCGGTGCTACCTCAAATTGCTAAATACAGCACAATTTATAACAGATTAAAACAGGTGGGGAAAGGAGACAAATATCTGCGATGGAAATCAGAAGGTTAATGAGAGAATGATGGACATGTGATAATTGAGGAGGTGTGAGTGCGTACGTGTGTGTTGGGGGGGGGGAATGAGAGGGCTTGTGAATATGTGGGTAGGTGAATGAGTGGTTGATCATAAACGGAGGTAACGTCACCAGATTGTTAGTGGATGGCTTGAGCCTTCCGTCTTCTCTACACGGTCAAGGGCAGATTATCCAAAGAGGTCATGTTCAGAATTTTGCCAACTGCCTAGGCGATTGCCATCCGTCTCCACAACCCCCCCCCTCCCTTGTGAGCCCAGAAACAGTTTGTAAGAACATTGGTCTTACCATGGCCAACCACGAACAATCTGGTGACGTAACCTTCGTTTATGATCGACCACTCATTCACCTACCCATCCATTCACAAACACTGTCTCACTTTCCACGCAAGCACACAGACATACAAGCTCACGAACATCAATCATCACAAGTCCGTCATTTCTCCTTAAACTCTGATTTCCTTCGCAGATATTTGTCTCCTTTCCCCACCTGTTTTAATCTGTTGTAAATTGTACTGCATTTAGCCAGTTGAGGTAGCACCGAAAACGAGCTTGTTTGCTATTTTGTGTTCTCATAAACACTAGTTGGTGTTGTTTCTCTTGTATCGTGCACTCGATGCTCATACCGTATGTCACTTCGGGTCATTGTGAGCGCAATCCATGCGCTCGAACCTACTCATGACAATAAAATCATAATCACCATGTCACGAACATACACAGCACTGTACAGATAGACAGGTCGTGCGCATCACCAGCTGTGCCTCGACATCAACGGTGCCGGATTCTCCAAATAAACTGCGATTCCTCGGGATGGGATTTGAACTAGCCATTTCTGAGCTACCCCGTGGACACAGTCAACAGCCTGAGACGAAAGCTGTATTGCCTATTAACCTATACACGTATTGATTGAACTCGTGCGACACCCTAACTTCCCTCAGATGTGTTCCCACCCCCCACCGCGCATTGTATTTTGAACGCTTCTTTATTTCTGTGCACTGAGGTCAGTTGTTTTTTTTCATTGAGTTCACCAAGTTGACCGTCAAATAACATTTTTCAGTTTCCTCCAATACACGCCACACCCTGGCGATTGGTGACCACTTTCGAAGTAGTTACCTTATCCCTGTTTCCAACACACGAAAACGTTTTTCCATCACAGTTATGCACCAAATTTTAGAGGATAATTGAATGATTTATGCGCCTCGCGAATAAGCTCTTCACCAAGACTTTGTGCCAAGCAAATCATGTTACAATAAGCTTTATTTTTTAAAAAGGTTCCATGCTTTGCATTTGAGCGGTATGCTATCGGGTTGCCCAGGCCAAGGCAGGTGAATTCTCTTGAGCAATTCACAACCGGAACCTTAGACTAGCCAAAGTCCGACCCTCAAAGCAGCGGAACGGTGTGTGAAAACCACCATCCACTGAGGGTCGGTGTTCAGCTCATCGGATCATTCGTCCTTTGGACAGGGTCAAACGTCCAACAAGCACAACACACCTCGATTCCCAATCGAGCTGGTAAACACTGTCACAATCAGGAAGTTGCGTGTGTGGTTCGTAAGCCTCCTCATGGTTGGTTTGGAATCAGGGTATTTGGCCAAGTCCCCTAGGTCAACCACCAGTGGTCCACCAACCGGGTTATATTCCCGGATGTCGGCTCTTCGTCCTCTCACTTTCGTGCAAAATACCTCCGCCAGGAGAAGGCAACGAGTATGGCTTTCTCAGCAGAGGCTATTTGAGACACTTGGTCGTATGGGAGCATTTCGTGAGGTGCAAAGGAAGGGTGACCCGCTGCAACCTTAGACACCCACCCCCGACTATATTGATGCTTTCAGAGGCTGAGCTGTCACTTTCGCACAACCACAAATCTTTTGTGGTGACACTCAAAGCAGCGCAAATTCAGTCATTGAAGTAGAAAATAAGTTGCAGAACAAAGGCTCTTCACTCATGGATATTGATAGACAAGTATAAAACTGGAAACGGAAGTGGATTCCCCAATTGACGTCATGTAGCGCGAATTCGATCGATACCTGCAGTATGATGCTTGGATTAGCCCATATAGTTTTCACAAGTAGTAGGCACTGGTTGCAATTTGACTAAGTTGTGTGTGTGTGTGTGTGTGTGTGATCATCTATACCAGCATGTTGACAAAGCTGTGTGCAATAAATATCTCGGTCGGAATGCTGATCTTGATCAGTGAAGAACCGGTGAGTCTATGTTTACAACTCGTACTGTTTTCTTTCCTGTCCAAATCAATAAAAGTATGCACGATGCCTAGTATCTTTGAGATCAATTTCAAACACAATCTTAGAATGCTGTAGACAGATAGATAACGGTGTATGCATTGTTACAGAGGACAGAGAAAGAGATTGGAAATTTGCGATTGGGCAAACCTTAGGAGAAAACGTATGAAAAGAAGCGGCCTAAGGAATGATGGTGGATTCAGAATACAATAAATGGGTGTGTGAAGTGGGGAACCGGTCGGAGAGAGGTGGTTACCCGAACATCACCTAAAACGGGGATCTGTAGCTAAAACAAACCGATTATCAATATAAGCGGTGCTCATCTGACTTTCCGGAGTATGGCAGTTGCAGGCGAATGGATCATTTTAGCATAAGTTGTTACAATAATTCTCTGGTGAATTCCACTGGGAATCAAATATAGAACAAACAGTTTTATTCTAATCAGATCTCATCGATTTGTATTGAGCGCATGCATTGGTCTATATCAGAAGGAGAACAGGTGTTCTCGAATATCAGTCACCCATGCATGAAAACAAGGTCGGTGAGTCGTAAATGCATCTATCAATAGTCAATGGGTCCCATGTAACAGATAGATGTTTGACCTTTTGTTTACAATTGCATTTTGAGTGAGCAGTATCATCCAATTGCTTCACGGATGTTGATGAAGATGATGATGATAATGATGATGATGTTGATCATAATAATAATAATAATAATAATAATAATAATAATAATCGCAGTGGTTATTTAGGAAGTCTGTACTTGTTATGTGTATAGTAATTTGCACTAATTATATATATAACCTTCACTTGTAGACAAGTAAAACTGGTGTATTTATTGAAATGATGGTTGAAAATCTGCGAACATTTTTGATACACATCCATTTACATTGATAGAGCACCACCGTACATATAAGCGACAAATTATTATCATGTTTTTGGACATCATATTCGTCTCCGACTCCATCACCCGCACTGCACTATTGAACGGTTTCCTGAGATACGAGATACTCTAGAAGTATCTCTTGTTTCCAAAAGCACTCTACCACCAGGCCTCGGGAAAGATTAGGTCCTAAGGTAAACTTTCACCCTCATTTCCTATCACCAGTGGGGTGCGACATCATTTCTTTCATCCTCAATCGTACCATAAATGATGTTTGGCAAAAAGGCACTACTTAACCTAAATAACACTGACGTGGAGCTTCTTCTCGAAGATAGAGTCATAGACTTAGAGTAGGCCGATGATATCGCCTAACTCGGTGACAAAGCACCGACGGTTGAAGACTGACTGAATCGTTTGACTAGTCATGGCATTTCCTTCGCATCTTCAAAGTGCAAAATGTTGTTTCAAGATTGACAAGAACCCGTTCCTGCACCTTCATTGGGTAATGACACCCTAGAAGTAGTCGAAAGGTTTTTCCAACTCGGAAGTTGCATAACGGCTGGTGGAGATGTGGGCGGGGAAATCTCTGAACCTGTAATCAAAGCTAGATTGACGTTCGCTAATCTGCGGCATCCTGGCACCGGCGAAACATCGCCCGCACACGGTGTGCGCAACGCGTGATTAACGATGAAGTCAAATGAACTGTGTTGGGCTCAAATAGTCTTCCGCTGGGTGAAACCATTTCACTGCATTATCTCAGGCAGCTGGGGCACATCTGTCGTGCCATACACTATTTGCAGACATTAGTCCCGAGGTGAGTAAGCCATGGTGTGGGGTGGACGGTTGAAAATATTGTTCTGAGTTACATAGCCCTTTGCAAATGATTTCGATGTATCCACATATTACCCCTCGACCGAAGACTAAGCGATAAACAGCATTTGTAACATTGAACATATACAACAATGCCGCTTATTTCCAGGAAACATTCTACCGATTTTCCCGGGGCGGGGGGCGGGGCAAGAAGGGATAGGAAGCGATNATTCATTGTTAGTTTTCGTTCACAATGTCCAATAGGAAATAGAAAAATTTACGCACTTTGATAGTGTATTTCCAACTGCCACATATCTACCTTAATTTCCAACCCACTTAGTTAGGTCATTTTTCTTCATTTTAAAGAGTATAATTTTGTCGTTCGGGTTACCATTGTGATCGATATCTCCATTACTTCTTTCACAATCCTTTACGAACAGCAACTTCACAATGGACGAGTCCCTTTCAGGTGATACGTCCACACTGGCTATCATTCCACTTCAACTTAACCATACAGAAGCAATTTGGACCAAAACAGCTGCAGTGGAGGAACAACGCATGGTTAAGCTGCCTAGTACCGACACGTGTCAACTCTTCTGGCAATTTGCTACTGCAGATTCGGTCCGTGTGAGATGGGTCTCGTTGAAACACGATGCATTATGTGCTTCCGATTTGGAAAAACTACTTCATCAACCGGTACGCAATATAAATTTCTGCCTGGCGCAAGATGTGTGCGGAGCGCTCAACTCAGAAGGTTTCCTCGTATGTAGCTCGGATCGGGACCCCAGGTCACTCCTATTTGGACACGTACAAGCAACAGAACCGTGTAGCAACGGGGAACGTAAACTATGGAATTATCGGTTAACCTTACCAATCCTCTGAATCGAATCATTATAAAACATGAGGTGTCCTGCTGTCGTGTGCTCGACGAAAATAAATAAACCACAGACCTTCGAAAAGTAGTATAAACGTTTTGACACGTTTAGTAAGGTGTCTACTCATGAGTAGCTGAAACACATTATCTAATATTTGAGACTAAGCATTTGGGGCAGCTCGTACAGTTCGCAATTTTTTTTACACCAAGAGATGAGGTGAAATATGCAGTCACCACATTCAAATGATAACTTCATTTTCTAATTGCCACAATTAACTAACATCATTTTTATTCTAAGAAGTCTGAAAACGAAAATGACGCATAAAACAGCGCGAATTATTTGTGATTAATGAACTGATGTTAATTGATTACGTCACGGTGATCGTGATCGTGCATCATCGATAGGCCTCGGTAAATGGCCTATTTAATTGGCACATGCATCCGTTCCACCTGATTCAGTGTAGTTACGTGAAATGTATTACATTCGTCTAAGCTCATAAGCCAATTTCAAGAGTTAGTGTTTGAATCAATCGATTAGAATTTTTATTCTGTCTACTGGTGACCCATTTATCGGAATCAGATACCGTTGTGTAGGGCACGTCATTTTCTTTTCGCAGTAAAAATCTCATAGTTCAACAGTACGTTCCATATTCCCATCTGTGCTGGATGAAAGTAGACGAAATTTACAGCGTGACTGTATATCATGACAAAATACAGTACAATTTGCAATAGATTAAACAGGTGATGAGATAATCGCGACAGAGAGCAGAGTTGAAAAACCGATAAAATGATTGTGATATTGTATGCTTGTTGTTTGTGTGGGTGTCCGAGCTACCCGAAAACGTTTTAGGAATACTGGGCTCTCCATGATAATCTACTTACAATCTGGTGATGCAACCTGCGTTTATAAACTCCCTTTCTGCGCAACCACTCTCCCTGATCCGCCTTCCACACATACAAACACACACATCAAGTTTACCACTTACAACCAAATGATCTCTTTCTAAATTCTTATGTTCTCCCCTTGCCAACACGAATTGAATCTATCATAAATTATACTGTACTTAGCCAATTAATGTAGCACAAACTACAGGCTTGTGTGATAAGTTGAATTATCATCACCATGATAACAATTAAAGGTTTATATTGAGAGTTTTGTGGAATTGGAAGGTATAAATGGCCTTAGGTTTCGTGCCTTATAACGTATTCTCCTTTTGCATAGCTCTAGGCGTCAATTTATTGTTGATGCGGTCAAAGAGCTTACTTTATCCACGTCAAACTGACATTTTCGTACAACCGTTTAACCTGGTGCTTTCGTTAGTTAGATGTATAATGTGACAAGCTTGTAAATACCCCGAAATGCTTCATCCTACTGTGAATTTATTTTCGTACTCAGATGAATTATCTGGGAAAATTGGTCACCCAGTGCAACTTTGTTCAAGACACGGGAACACATTTTCTGTCCTTCTGTGGTGTTTCTTGGAATATCCCTATTGATCATTGAAAAGACAAGTGAAGCGAAGCATTCTTTTCGACTACTCAATCTCAAGCTTCCACATTCATATATGATCACAAGTTGGCAACAAAAGTCAAGATTTATAAAAATAAACCGGGGTGGGGGAGGGAGCTACAGAATTGAGTTCACTTATCTAAGCAGATTACATAACACGGTCATGCAGTTGTCGTTTGATTTTCTGAACAACAGTCAACAAAGTCAATATTGTCGGGCCATGGCATACTCAATATGTGAACAATCAGCTTCTGTTTGCACAGTTCGGGGTGGTATTGGGATATGCTTCCTCATGCCGACAGATTTGGTCCAGTAACTGTTTCAATTTGTGAGATCCGTCATTGCGGACTCGTGTGATGACATGTATTCGCCGTCTCTGCATATACATTTAATGTTTAATTTTTACTTCCTTTTATTGAATACACAATAATACAATTTTCTGATAACAAGCAGTAACCAATTCACCGATGTGACTGTTACCATCAACTGAATGAAGTACCAAAATGATGCAATTGTACCGAGAATTTCACCAAATAGTCATCACCACCACATTCACTTTTTGTGATATATCATTTTGCCTAAAAGCAGCCGAGAGGATAGAAGTAGGTCTTCTGGGACAGTCATCCTTCACGTGATCCTGGGTTCGTGATTGACCATTTACGGCGATAGTTGCCTACAAGTGATTCAGTTAGACTTGTGACCAATCGGTAGTTATTTGGTTGACCAGTTACAGTTTTCTCCAAACAAGAATGATTTGCATGATTTACGAAATGCAACTGGACTGGCATCAAGTATTTGTTCCAAAATGGATTATTGTACAACATTCTAGTTAGATCGAGAACGCAATGTCCTTGAAAACCATTGGGAAATTTTCGATTAATACACTGTAATACTCCGACAAAATGGGGACTTAAAGATGTCACTGAAACGTGAATGATCATTCATTGCTCCAGCCAGTTTCTTCCCATCACACCACTAGGAATTCCGAAAAACGTGAACAACGGCATCTAGTAGTAGTCAGTGGCATCTACTTTTAAGTAGCATAAAACTTTGCATGGCGTATTCGAGACGAAGTTAACAGGAGTTACTGAACGTTCGGCACTCTTTTATTTTTCCATTAGCCTGACATATTTACCATCTCAAACACGACCGTTGTTTTGGTTTTGAGGAAAACACCGCAAAATAGTTGGGTTGAACAATTTTTCAGCTTGCCATAGAAGAGGTTCATTGATATCGGACTACCAAAGTTAGTATTCCGCAAAAGTTATTCACGTGTTGAAAGAATTTTTATTACATGGTGGGCTTTACAAATCAATACTATGAACGGACAGTAAATTTTCAGATTCACAAGAAATTGCAGTGATCGCTTTCCCCTCACCAAGAAGTAATATCATTTTTTATTTTGACTTCTTGGTTTCAAAAACCGTAGACAATAACACATGTATTTTTCATTTTACCAACTGGTTTCAAAATCAAACTGTTTCAACGTGAATGAAAATATCGCCATAGGCACACATGCGAACAGTATTTACGGCAAAATTCCAGTAATTTCGGTTAAAAGTAGTCCATTGTATCACGTGACACCGTTAACTGTTCGCCGCGAACATAAAATATATCAGGCATGAATTCTTCATTTTCTTCTACTTTGTAGGATTAGCTAAGACAACCGTCTGATCACGAGCAAAACCAAACTTTGGGAGTCCCAAGTCTCGCTGCGTTTTCGTTGTTAGATTCCGTGACTTAAAACCACGGTTTCTACCATGGGAAACTCACCATACTTCCCCCTCAAAGCAACAGAGTACGCAAAGACCGCCTTGTAAATTACTTTAAACTTTTTGTTGCTTTTCAAATGGTACTTCTCCTGTGACGACACGGCTTTGACAAACTATCCGATTGGATATAACATTTCGAACAACTAAATTCGAATAATCAGGGGATTTTGTCGCAGAACTCTTAATACCATCAGGTTATTTCCCTCCATTTAATGCATCATAGCGCCCTTTGTTGCACTGTATTGTAATAACTTCCGCAGGAATGACGCCTAAATTTCAGTTAAGAATGTACAGGTTAGAACGAGGGAAAAATAATAATAACAATGAAAAAACGAGAGTTAAATCCCAAAACTGCTAAAAAAAAATCCGGGAAAAATTTTCCTTGTTAACAAAAATACGTGCTAATGAGGGTACTGTAGACCTACGACGAATATTTATTCGAGAGGAAACACAGCAGTATTGAGATCTAGTTGAAGGATGGAAACAGGGAGTTAGATCTGCGTGTAGCAAATGCGTGGAGTCGATGAGAATCTCATGTGCAATCTTTTCACATGCATTGAAATAGCGTTTGCATAAGTCTGTTACCAACTCCTTCAGCGTGCCATCACGACGAGACCGCACCTTGACGTGGTGTGATGGTTTGCGTGCCTCATTGACCCTGCGAGCCACACGGGATGGCTGCTCACAGTCGTAGATCCAATCATGCCTGAAACGTCAACGGGTAGAGGCCATACAATGCTCAGTTTCACAAAGCCAGTTGCTTGGTCACCGCTGGCTTCCTCCTATCCACATCCGCACCTGGGGATGCCATTCCAGCAAATAAACACGATGAGGGGCAGTTTACCGGTCAAAAAACCCCACTAGATGGACGTAGGAGCGGGGTACCTGGGGCTTCCTCTCGGCGGTGGGAGAAGTCTTCGCACTTCATTGGACAGCTACCGCCCGCCCAAGCTGGGCAGCCCCCAGCCAATAAGGTGCTGTCCAGTCCACGTTCCTCTTGTTTCATTGGGTGCATGAGGCTGAGGGCTGATCCCGAAAAGCGGGCCGATAATTAACGCACCAGTGAACAACAAACTGAACCGAAATTCAAAGACCGTGCGTGACAGGTCTCCAGAAGCCAGGACACGGGTGCTTCCTTCAAGCTCCTGCATTGAATTTACGCCCCACTGCCTTGTGGGTCAGACTCTTGAGTCAAAGGCTCCGGTTAGGGTTCCCAAAGAAAAGCCCCTTCATCGGTGTGGGCTGCCGTGAAGTATGACGTGCCCTTAAGTCTTAGGCACCCATTTGGGAACCATCTTTCTCATCTGTCTAGTTCTTCTCAATCCTAAATAATCCCAGATACCTCCAGTTTACGCCACCCTTCGAATATCAATCAGTGTTTTAAAAGCAAGGCCAGACAATCAGAAGTTATAGGATTTTTAAAGCCCAAACCCCCTTTTCACTTAGCCGCGTTCAATGTCCGCACGTCACATCAGATTGGCCAACAAGCTGCCCTGGCTAGAACCCTCGAAACTTTCAATGTAGATGTATGCCGTGTCTCCGAAACACGCATACAAGACCCCACTTCCATTATCTCTCTGCGTTCTCCTGATCCAACCTCACACTTCACCCTTCCTGTGTCAGACGATTCGGCATCCGAAGCTCCCGGTGTTGCTGGTGTTTGGATTGCGCCGTGTCAAAGCGGAGCGCTCGCTTCTTGACTGGATTCCGGTCAGTAGCCGACTGT